ACTTGCCCTATGAGCTCCTCCTTCAGGTCCCCAGCCGTTACCAACACCTCTTCCCTCCCTGAGCAGATATCCCTCTTCCTAGAGACAGGCCTGTCACTTGACATTATTAAGGACCTGCCACGATTTGCCATAAGCAGATGAAATGTACCGGGAATTTTCCCCCCCACACACTCATCATTCTGTCACTTTATGTAACTTGCTGACAAAACCCATGACCCTTCAGGCTTTTACGCCCTTAATGCATGAGCCATAAAGACAAGCATGAACTACGCATACTTCCCAGATGGGCGTTGTAAACGCTTTTGCGCTTCACCTTGCGCAAGGTGTAAGGGGGGGGGGGGGTTGCCAATAAGCTAGCCCCCGTGCGGGACAATAAATAAAAATAATCCACACACCACCACCACCGCAAACACAAGTGGAGCGTATAAGAAAGGGCGACGTAACTAGTCCTGCCAAGCCAGGTAAAAAAAACAAAAACAGACGAAAGCTAAGGAGGTGCTCCATTGTTTCCCTTTTTCCTGTGTGATTTTATCTATATATATATATATATATATATATATATATATATATATATATATATATATATATATATATATATATATATAATGAACGTATGTGAGTGTCAATCAGTCATATCTGTGTATACATGCATGGACGTGTCACTACGTATATACTTGCATTTGTGTGTAAACAGACGTGCGTGTGTATGCCAAGTCCTTGTAACAAATTCTTGAGCCTTCACAACAAAAGGTAAACAAAACCAAGACCAATCGACAAACGTGTCACTGGTCGTCGACTCACCCCCATTACTCTCTCGTGTCGAAAGCCTGTGTGTTCGCTGGCAAAACAACGGTGGGACGGGAAGGGTGAGGGAGGGACTTGGAGAGTGGGGGAGGGACGGGGATGCTTGGGAGGGACATGGAGGATGGGAAAAGAATTGACCGCAGGGGAAGGAGGAAAGAAGACCAAGGTGACTGGAAGAGGGGATTAGTGGAAGAGGAGGGAGTGGTGGAGGTGGAGGAGATGCTTGGAGGAAGAGGAAGAGTATGATGACCTACTCTAGATGGTGCGTTAAGAAATCAATCCTCCTGCCGTGCCATTCTCTCTCGGGTTTTAAATATCACAGTTTTGTTGATCTTAATGTGTAGGGTGAAGACTATACCTCAAAGTGAAAGTACTGTATATTTTGAAACGGTAAGTATAAAAAAAAAGGCTTACGTAAGCTCAACACAATCGCCATGATTACAGGTACAGGAAAATAACAACAACTTTATTATCTCTATCCACCAAAGAACCAACAGCAATACATAACGTCTTTCCTACAGACAAGCAGACACGCTATACACTGAGACAGACAGACAGACAGACAGACGCTACCAGACCTCTTCAGATAAAATGGCAATATGAGCTAACCCACTCTGTACTGTTGGTCACGAGCTGCAAGTCCTGGATAATACATGACTCAACATCCTGCAATAACCAGTGTGGGGAAAAGGTCTGTGATCCCGTGTGGCAGAGGCGTGGGGGAGATTAGACTCACAGATCGACAAAGAAATTGGATAGATTAAATAAATTAGACGGACAGACCGAGAGATAGATAGATAGATAGATAGATACTGTAGAAAGATAGATAGATAGATAGATAGATAGATAGATACTGTAGAAAGATAGATAGATAGATAGATAGATAGATAGATAGATACTGTAGAAAGATAGATAGCTAGATAGATTGATAGAAAGATAGATAGATAGGTTAGATAGATAAATAGATAGCTAAAAGATAGATAGATAGATAGATAGATAGATAGATAGATAGATAGATAGATAGATAGATAGATAGATAGATAGATAATTTGTCATACCAATTCACATTGATTCAGCATTTATGCAGAATGCAGATATACAAAGCATATAATAGTGCAGGTATACAAACGATGTACATACTGTAGACTGTACAAGAGTATACGATGTACATCGTGCAGAAAAAAACAGGCGAAGTAAACGCTGCTGTTGGTGAGTCGGTGTGAGGTGGGAAGTGTTGATGAAGAGAAAAGAAAGGGAGACGTGGGTGTTGGTAGAGAGGCTAGAGACGGGGGTGTGAGATGTGGCGTTCAGAAGGAGAGGCAAAAGAGGTTGAATACTTCAGGTTAATTAGTTCTGTTTACCTCACTTACCTGGGTCCTTTAGTTTAACAAATTTATTGGCTGAGCTTGTAGTACAGTTTGCCTATTCTGAGTAATTCAGTCAGGTCTTGACACTGAGGGTGGTATCACTTCTCACTGTCATGCAGGACAGAGGTTCACACACAAAGAAATACATCATATTCATTAACAACTATAAATGTATATAGGTCAGGTTCAAATGGATAATGTCACTGTTCACTGCCATGCAGGACAGAGGTTCGTACACAAAGAGTTGCATCATATTCATTGACAGTACATATACATATATGTAAACACACACACACACATATACATACATATACGTATATACATACACATATACATGTACACGTACATATACATGCACACACGCACACATACATACATATACGTCGGTCAGATTCATGTGGGTAATGTCACTTTTCACTGCCATACAGGACAGAGGTTCGTACCGTGATTCCATTAACTGGCTTTGAGTTTCCTCTTTCCTTATCTGACTCTTCTCGCTCTCTCTCTTCTTCGTTTGTTTCTTTCTGTCTGTCTCATTTGCTTTGGAAACTAATTAATAATATAAGGGTTTCAACTACTGCTAGCCATAAAGTCTTAATTTCACTAATCGGTGACAACTTTCACTCGTAATTACAGAAAGTTTTTCATCGTGCCGTGTGTGTGTGTGTGTGTGTGTGTGTGTGTGTGTGTGTGTGTTTACTAGATATAGACAAGTGTTATTATAGCTTTACTAGTTCATCGCCTGAACATGCCAGCCTTGACATTTGTCTTTGTGGCCAGATAGATCCCCATTGTTGATTATTCCCTAAAATATTTTTGCATCTTAGCAAAGTTTTACGAAAAGTATTTATCTTTCGTTTGTAGTATACTGTAAATATCCAATGAATACTCTAAATTCATAAAGACGAATGAAAAATAATACATGCGCATGTACAACTATCATCGCGTGCCTAGTAAATACATAACTTGTTAAACGCCAGCTTCCTTATTCTTGTAGACATAACACTGACGACGAACAATACTGGTGACGTGTCCTTGGAGCTGTAAAACACTGATTGTGGAGGTGCTAGTCGTTAATTTGTCGCCGTGCGCACTTTGTTGGTGATTGTGTCGTAGGTTATTAAGTATCCGTCACTAGGGCTTATTTTTAGGTATTGTAACTGCAAAGGTTATTAAAGAACACCTTATAAACTGTCAGGTAAGGCTTTATCTCACCGTTGATGCTTAGAAATATATATATACAGGTATATTGATGTTTCAATAGCCTGAACTGTAAGCAACAATGCATATGTTCATTAACAAGTAGTTTATTCTAACCCTACATTGCCCACGACTGTAACTAACCATATTGAGGATTTATCGCTGGTTGGAATGAAATAAATTTTTCTTTAGCGATAATTTCCCCCAAAGATATCCGAAACGATGAACTATTACCATCAAAATTACATAAATTTCGTGATATTGCAAACGTTGCAAAAACAAAGCTAACGTACTGTACAGTGATCATGTATGTCAGACATTTCAAAGCCTTGGGCCCAGGAAAATATAACCAACTAAAATGTTAATCCCAAATTACACTGTGGAATACTTAAGTGCTAAGATCTAGCCAGTATTGCCGTGAAAGGCAAACATATACTCGTGACCTTCACATAAGTCTAGAAATATAATTATTCCCCCAGGTTGTAGCCATGCTGGACCCGACAATTACAAGAGCCTTTCTTACGCAGCTCCACCGCCGGTCTTTCCCTCCGGCTTTCCAACCGACGGACATGCAAGTTAATTACAGTAAGAATTGGAACACTCAGGTTCTGTGTTCACTGAAAGAGAATTATTTTAACCCAAGGTTTACAGTTATTCATTTTCCTATTGACAGTTCTCGTTGAGAAACGCATTTTCATACAAAGCAGCACTTTTAATTTTTACACACACACACACACACACACACACACACACACACACACACACACACACACACACACACACACACACACACACACACACACACACATACTAAAAATAGATATGTATAACTATAATTTTTTTGCGGTAACACAAACAATAGTAAGTTATGAATCAACCAAAGTACAGATTACTAGTTTGTACATAATATTCAATAAATTACATGACTTAATATATTATATTAAGTCATGTAAAGAATTTAATAATAACTTGCTTTTCAATTCAATCCCTAATGCTATTGCCTAACCTGTGACGTAACACCCATATAAAATGCACTGATGTTAGCTAAAAGAAAAGCTTGCTAGAACCTTAAGTTACCTGAAAAGAAGAGGCAATAAAAACACTTAAATTTATCATCAGTTTTGACAGCTCGTGAATTTTTTGTCATCTAATGTATTGTTATGACATCTGGTTATTAGACGATTAATTGTTGTAGTTCATAACAGCTGGTGTATTTTATATATATTATAGTTGTACTTTATGTTGTATAATAGCTTGTGTATTGTTATTGTAGTTCCAGATGTGTCGTAATGGCATTGGCAACACGCAACCTCATGACAAATATAGGTTAATCTTTCGAGCAGGACGATCTAAGCTCTCGTATTCAAGCGGTTATTAAGGCCTTGTACTCAAGTGGATTAGACCATAGTACTCAAAGAGTTAGGATACATACCATACAGGTTTATCATCATACTCATAAGTTTAAATCAAACATCTAACTCAAATGGTTGAGTCCTCGTATTTAAGGGACTAAATCATCTTACTTAAGGAGTTAACATCAAGGGGTTAGGTCCTCTCATTGAAAGGGTTAGATCACTGTACTCAAGAGGTTAATATGCACAGTAATGTAACTAACGTGACATGACCTACCTTCAGGGGTAAGTGCAGTGGAGTCGTCCCTCACGAAGATCCCGTTAAGACCTGTCTGGTTGCGGGTATCAATAGCTCGTTCGTGATGTACGAGCACCAGGTCGGCAGGAGCTTCTGGCTCGTGACCTGGAAGCTTGAGGACACCAGGATCTATCCTCTGAGTGCTCGTTGCGGGTGAAGACGTGGAGTAGGTGGAAGGTGTATTCGGCGCTTGGTCAAGTGTCACCTTTCTTGTCTCTCCTACTGTCCCGAAGAGTGGATCTTTGGTAAAATGAAAACTGCTCCCAGTAAGGCCCTCCCTGGGAGACTGCCGGAAGCTAGGGTTTTGTCGGTTGTGAGGCTCTTGTGAGTTATTGGAGTTCTGTTGGTTGTTAGGAGTCAGCGTACTGCTTGGAGGCAACGCTGACACTACAGACGACACGGCTGTTCCTTGTAACACCTCTTTGTCATTGTATTGTGGGCGAAGCCTCGGGTTCCTGCCGCCCACATTCACGCCAGTCACCTGAGCCGCGTCTCCCAACACCCTGACACTGCTCGGCTCACTGAATACCTCGTCCGGCCGAGTTGTCTCACTGGAGGGTCTGAGGGCTCGGAGGGTCGACCTAGTGCTCGTGCTTGGAATTCTGGTGGTGGGTTTTTGTGTTCCTCTGCGGGGTTCTGTGCGCTGCAGAAGGTGTAAGTTGGGGCTGTCAGGGTCCTGGAAATGCTGAGGGAGGTGAGGGAGGAAAACCTCCGGTACATCTACCACTGGAGGTTCAGACACCTCCACCAACATCTCCCTGCTCGATTCTTCGCTCTCTCCCCACGTATCTTTTAAGGGTATATTAGGCGCCATAGTAGTCAAGATGAAATACGAAGACACGTTTAAAAATGTTTTATCACTTGCGATATTATCCACTATACCATAGTTGGCTGTGGATATAAATTCTCTTGTCTAATTGCGAGAGTTACAGCAAAAATACAACGCCAGCATTGATGTGAAAAAATAAATACTTCTAAAATACTAAGATATGTACACACAATCGTGATTTATCAATAATTTAACACGTCAGATTAAATACACTCGAAAGCAATCACAAATTGTAACTCAGTAATAACGTTAACAGCAACACCCGCGTTGTGTAAGGTGTAGACTGGCACACCTTCAAGAGGTTAAAGTGTCCCAGACCGGCAGCGTGTGACAGCAGCGTCCGCGGTGTACACTGAACTGGCAGCTTGCAACGGACTGTCGCGTCGAGATCACCTTGGGACTCTGGCGGCAGCGCGGGAAAGAACCTACTGGGAGCTGCCGAATGCCCCTTTTTTCACCTCGCCTTCAACTCTTTTTTTCGTTTATTTAATGGACATTTACTTCACATGCAAGTCTTGAAATTAGTAAGAAATTAAAATAAAACGTCTGTATAATAGATTAATTTACTTGTGTGTCGTCGCCTGATTCACTCAACATATCGTACCCGTGGCGAGGAAGTGACGTCACAATACTGGCCCAGCTCCCGGATGCAACGCGCGTGAAGTGTGGCACCGGGAGGAAGCTAAGCCAGCCAGCTTTTTCACTTATGTGTCCCAATTTCTTATGGCTTGAATATTCCAAGGCGGTCCAGCGGGACAGTACTATGAACCGTCAACGAGCTAATAGGATTATGGAGGCCACTGTACGGAACTTCTAATACCTGGAGCGGCTGACAAAGGATGCACAGCAACTTTTTTGTAGCGGCGGGGGCGTTTTCATATTTCCTGAAGGAGGGTCAATGGCAGCCGATGTGTTAGTGGCCAGGAGGAACTTGGAGGAGGCGGTCACGGGTAGTCTCTAAAAAATGGAGATGGACAGAAGAAAGAGATGATGGACTTTAATTGTTTGTTGTCAGGAAAGTGGCAGAACTTCGGGAAGGGAGGGAGAGGTAGGTGAAGCCTTGCAGAACACAGTGCGATGCCAGATTACACAAGCAGTTTTCAAATCCGTGTCAGTATTGTTAAGTCACGGCAGTCAACAAGCCGTGTTTTTGAGACTCTTCTCTTGGGGAACTGTGTTAACAGCGATCACTCAGCTGCCACCACCACTTCATTCGACATAAAGAGGTTCTCGGTGAACCTTTTTGAGGTTGTTGTCTCTTCGTGCAGGAGTCTTGGTGTTGCTGAATCGGTCTACGCCAGTCTTACAGTGTTCAAGTATGACTACGCAGCCTCGGTATTATTCTATCTTGTCTCACATTTCTCACGAGCGGTAGCGTTCAAGAATGAAGAGATGTTGGAACAGCAATGTGTTGTCTCAGCAGCGTCTGAGAGACGACTGGTGCTGCAAGAGGCCGACGGTGCACCCCTCGCCGCCTCCGGTCACGCTGCAGGCACTAACCTGGAAATTTGAGGAAGAAAATAAGGTCTTAGAAGAGCCATCAACCCCCAGCTTTCACATTCAGTGGAAAACAAAGAATTACAACCAACCCCTTTTATCATATAGTGTTAATGTATCAATGTACTTCAACAGCTAAGTTATTTAAATATATATTCTAGGTAAGTTCTTACAAGAAACAAGAATTATTAAAGATTAAGAAAGAGATTCTCTCTCTTTTCACTTTGTACAACAACAACAACAAAAACCCAGATTTTTGCATTCCCCGTTTCCTTGTAGGATGATAATTAATAACAAACCGTCTATTGTTTGTCTCTTAGATTATTATTTTTTCTTTACGTTCTTCTTTATCACTGGTAACAGTATCTGACCTTTAAAGCCTTCCTAGTTTTCTCTGCCTTTGCTTTTATTGTTGTTTTCATCACTTATACATCCTCTTGCAGGGATGAATTACCCATTTAATTCTTGTCACAGAAATGTACATAAGTAGACAGGGAGACTTATGGTTGGTAAAAATAATCGATTTGACAGGTGCTGCTGTTACATAACGCGTCTGCCAGTGTTAAGTTGAAGTTATGGCATTAAACTCCGTAGATTACAAATAATAATTCACGCTTCCCGGTGGTCAAGGACTTGCTTACCACACCCAATAGAGAATGTGTGTGTGCATGTGTTGCAAAGGAGTGTGTGTGTGCGTAGGTGTTATAGAGGGCTGTGTGTATGTATGCCTATATGTTACAGAGGACTCCGTGTGTGTGTGTGTGTGTGTGTGTGTGTGTGTGTGTGTGTGTGTGTGTGTGTGTGTGTTTGTGTGTGTTTTGTGTGGGTGTGTGTGTGTGCGTGTGTGTGTGTGTGTGTGTGTTCAGCCACACACAGGTTGGTGAAATGCGTCTCGAGTGGCACCATCATGTTAGTGTTAAGGTGCAAGCTCTGCTTGCTCCCTCTCGCTTTCAGCTGCTGCCGCTGGCTCGCCCTCGTGGTGAACAGAGAAGCAGCTTGCATAAGTCTTCCCCTGCCAGTGCACAGCCTCCTCACCATCAAGACTCCTGCTGTGCCTCCTCGTGGCAACACACGGTAACTGGGTGCCTCGTGGGCCCAGGCTAGAACAGCAGGGGGTCTCAGAGTAGCAGTGGGCCCCAGAGGGATGGCGCATAGGCCCACTGGCACGTAGACACGTCCTGGCGCCTACCAACCACCACCCCGCTGCCTTGCAGATTAACCTTGGCAGGTATAAGGCTACAGGAGTAAACCCTGAACGAAATATCTGCGTTGGAGCCCAGCATGAGGCAGACATGCTTACAGAGCTCCAACAAGACCCCAACGGTGGTGTAGGCGGAAGAGGTGACCACCATGGAAACCCAACGACTACACCGGCGGATGAAGGCAATGCCTGATGGGCAGGGTACAAAGACGAAACCCAACATTGAAACTCTCCCTCTCCCTAGTCGTTGCAACACGTGCATCACTGGATCAGGAAAAGGGAGAACCAAGATGTGTGGTTGCAGCCTGCACTCCTGCCTAACAGCATAAATCGACTCATCCAGTTCACCATACTTCTTATCATCATCAAAACCCCTATACCCCCAAAAGTCATATGGCGACGGACAAATGGCGATGGGGACAGGCAGAGATAACTGCCGGGAGTCTCTAGTCACAATTCTATACATGGGATCTAGGCAGCAGTGTCTATCCGGTCCTGTCTGTGCGGCTGAGCAGCCCTTTCTGGGAGCCACTCTGCTCACCCCAAATGGGGTGAGCGAATAGTAAACGTAACGCCGGCGGGCTATTGAAAAGTTATAAGGATAGTCTTAAGACAAACCTGAAAAAGTGCCAAAACCGATCGGCTCACCTGGGAGTTGATTACTCCACATCGTAACGCTTGGAGGAGCACCGCACGAGAAGGTGTCAATGCTTTAGAGTTAGCTAGACTGCAAACCAAGGCAGACAAGCGCCAACGCCGGAAAAATGCTGTTACGGAGTTCGGTAGTTCGATTACCGGGTGCTTCCAGTTTACCCATATATATATATATATATATATATATACATATATATATACATATATATATATATATATATATATATATATATATATATATATATATATATATATATATATATATATATATATCTTCACACGGAAAAGGGAAACAACGGAGCACCTTAGCTTTCGTCTTTAAGACATCTTCAGTTGCCTCTGAAGATGTCTTGAATAAAGACAAAGCTAAGGTGCTCCGTTGTTTCCCTTTTCCCGTGTGATTTTATCAAGATTTATCTTATCCACGTTTTCATTGTGGATCTACATGAAATATATATATATATATATATATATATATATATATATATATATATATATATATATATATATATATATATATATATATATATATATATATATATATATATATATATATATATATATATATATATATATATATATATTTCATTGGCTCAATAAAGCAAGCGGACTTCTACATACAATCAACACCTCAACCCGCCAGGATTCGAACCCACGGCCCACGAGCCCATGTTTCGAAACCGGATTTGGTAAAACGTTACTCTGACCGCCTACGTGATAAGGGTAGTCCCCATTAGAGGTTCACGGCGCCAGAAGCTCGTTGAACAGGCTTTGTGTGAAATATAACAAAGTCTAGGACTACTTTTAGTATCCTGGTGGTCCACAGGTAGCGTTCCTCGGTCACAGTCATGGGCTCGTGGGCCGTGGTTTCGAATCCTGGACTCGAACCCACGGCCCAAGAGCGTGACCGGGGAACGCTAACCGCTGGACCACCAGGATACTAAAAGCAGTCCTAGACTCTGTTATATTTCACACAATGCCTGTTCAATGAACTTATGGCGCGGTGAACCTCTAATGGGGACTACCCGTAACACGTAGGTGGTCAGAGTAACGTTTTACCAAATCCGGCTTCGAAACACGAGGATCCATATATATTTCATTAGCCCAATAAACACGCGGACTTCTACATACAATCAACACCTTAACCTGCCAGGACTCGAACCCACGGCCCATGAGCGTGACCAGGGAACGCTAACCGCTGGACCACCAGGATACTAAAAGCAGTCCTAGACTCTGTTATATTTCACACAAAGCCTGTTGAACGAGCTTATGGCGCCGTGATACGGGTAGTCCCCATTAGAGGTTCACCACGCCATAAGCTCGTTGAACAGGCTTTGTGTGAAATATAACAGAGTCTAGGACTGCTTTTATATCCTGGTGGTCCAGCGGTTACCGTTCCCCGGTCACGCTCGTGGGCCGTGGGTTCGAGTCCTGGTGGGTTGAGGAGTTGATTGTATGTAGAAGTCCGCGTGTTTATTGGGCTAATTAAATATATATATATATATATATATATATATATATATATATATATATATATATATATATATATATATATATATATATATATATATATATATATATATATATATATATATATATCAACAGGTCAACCTCTGCAATTTACTTCTACAGACGAAACTTCAGTTGTCATAGTGGTTAGAATATTTGTAAGTTACAATTGTAAATTTACTTCCAGTTAGGACATAAAAGAACACCTATTTGAACTACTGTCTTGTTCGTTCGTAAAAGCACTCACATTGTTCAATCTCTACATCACTTTGTCTCTTCCGGACAACTGAAAGAGAATAATTATCTAAAATATTATTCACTAAACTTAATCTTGATATGATGCAACGACGAGAACTACCAACGTATTTAGTAGTACAGTGGAACAAAATAATGCCTGGGACTCCGACTACATCCGAGCTACACCAGATATTATTGCGAGAAGGCTTCCCAATGTTAGCTCTGGGAACACATGATGTTGACTGGCTCCTCTTAGTTAACTTACTCATAAGTTTGTTTGTATTATTCAACATTATGATAAGAATTTCCTCTGGTCAAAATCATCTCAGCTGACTCTGGATACACAGCTGTCGATAACTGATCGGATAGACAGTTGTACTTTATGCTCCGAATGAATATTTGTCTTTGGCGGAGTGAATATTTAGCCGTCCTTTGGTTTCAAGATCCCAGGATGGAGGCTAAGTCAGGGTAGTGTTCTCATGGTGCGGGAGAGGCTTTTATCATACCTGCCTCCTCACACCACCAGGGAGGTGTGAATGGATCAGGTCGTTCTGGAAGGCAAACAACAGGTCCTGGGTGACACTGGCTTCGTGTGTCCAGGCCAAGGTGATGCGGATCACACCCAGTGTGAAAATGTGAAACGTCACCGTCAGGGAGCTGCTGATGACCGGAGTACATGCTGGTAGTGTTGGAAATACAGAGACTATTTGATATCATAACAGCCTCTCCATAAAGAAATCAAAATCAACCAATCATTATCTCATCCAATCTAACCTAACCTAACCTAACCTAACCTAACTTAACCTAACCTAAGACTAATAAACTATATTATGGTAAACTTAGACAACCATTGTACAATCAATTCTAGCTTAACCTAAATAAAGTACACTGGGTAATATAACTTAAGACAATAATTAGGAAAGTTTCCTAATAATGGTTTAAACTGTTCAAGTGTCATATTGGGAGTTCAAAGTTAACACAATATGCTATTTGGAAAATGTGTGTGCGTGCCCTCGCTTGTGTGTGTGTGTGTGTGTGTGTGTGTGTGTGTGTGTGTGTGTGTGTGTGTGTGCACAGGGTGGTGTAATTCGTCTAGTGTTGCAGCATTATGTTAGTGTTAAGGTAGAAGCACTGCTTGCTTCCTCTTGCTATCAGCTACCGCAGATGGCTGTGCCTCCTCATGGCAAAACACAGTAACTGGGTGCCTCGTGGGCCCAAGCTACACCAGAAGGGGTTCTCAGAGTAGCAGTGGGCTCCAGAGGAACGGTGCATAGGCCCACTGGAATGTGGATACGTCCTGGTTCCTACCAACCACTGCCCTGCTGCCTTGCAGATTAACCTTTGCAGGTATAAGGCTACAGGAGTAAACCCCGATCGAATATCTGTGGTGGAGCCCCGCACC